GGGTGGTGAGGCACTGGAACAGGTTGTCCAGAGAAGCTGTGGAAGCCCAGTCCCTGGAAGTGTTCAAGGCCGGGTTGGATGGGGCTGTGAGCAACCTGGTCTGGTGGGAGGTGACCCTGGCCATGGCAGGGGGGTTGGAACGAGATGGTCTTTAAGGTCCCTTCCAACCAAACCGTTCTGTAATTCTATGATTCTATTCATCCAATGTTGCCACAAGGGATGCAAGAGCTGTACCAAAGCCAGGTTTACAGTGGTTGCTGGTGATAGGGGGGTACACAGCAGCCTCCTGAAATCGATACACAGCGAGATTTTTTCCATAGATCTCCTGAATCCCACAGATCTTGGTCTCAGGACAGTATGGTGACCTAGTACAGAATCATTTACCATGAGCCCTACACTGCACGCATGCGACTAGCTGTACCCTTTTGCCTCCTAAGTCCTTATCATCATCCTGAGGCAAAAGGCCACACAGACAGCTGGCAGGTACTCCTCTAAGTCTGGAGGTTTCAGGAGCTCTATATCCATTAACACCAGCTGATGCACCAGAGCTAACAGCTGATTTTCTTGAGGCTGATCGTTGTATAGCTCCCTTTTAGAAAATAATTCTTTGTTTTTCTCTTAATTACTTCATTTACTTGATTTATATCTACAGGTCTGTTTCAGTGACAGTGATGGAGAGGCCAAGCCCACATTCTTCTCACATATCTTCCTCCTTTTTTTTTTTTTTTTGCATATGAATATGTAGAGACAACTGCTTTGTCTTAATAGCACTGCAAAAGATTATTTCACTGGTCTGTGATACTTCAGCATCTGGTGGAGGAATACTTCACCACTTGGAGAAAGACAAAATCCCTTTCTTAAAGCGTTTACAACCTGAGGTAACAGCATACAAAAGCATAAGGAGGTAGATGTAGTCATTGTAAGCACAAGCCTTTTATCTTCACTTTTGTTTTCGCCATGCTTCATTTGCTTGTTAAAGAAATGTGTGACAGCAATATGTGGTCTTCTGTCATTACCTGGCTATTTCGATGCCCAAAGTTGGGTGGTCTAAACATCCTGCGATGATCTAGCAAGCTATTTTAGACCATCATCCCATTCAGACTGTCTGTAGCACAGCATCTCGGAATCTCATAATAAGTCAATACAAGTGAAAACATGAGCTTACACCTTCAGGCTAAATCTGACTGTTACAAGGATTTCCCTGCAAAAAAACTCTCATTCCCATTTCTGTCTGTTAACTCACACTTCTGCCTGGTGAAATGCCTCAGTGAAAATCCGAGTATTTCTGACAAATACCAGCCTGTGATGGAGTGGGCTGAGTCAGGGAATGTAGTCTGCAACCATCTTTCATTCAGATGTGTGTTGGCTTTTCCTTGTGATAGTGAGGGATTCTGAAACTTTAATTTCTGTCTTCTAATGCCAGAATAAAAGTTGCAAATCCCTGGCCTGCTTATTTGAGTGGTTGGCAATTGCATTAAAGGGCTTTTTTTTCTGGTAAGGCATGAACTGCAGCCAGGCAATACAAAAGCTCTTGTAATTCCCCACGTGATCTGTACTACCAATTCTTCATTCAGAGAGAGCCTCTTTCATACAGCCAATGGACAGAAAGGCCCAAAATATCAGTGGAAAAGCTCACAGTGGGATCAAAGAAGCTGTAAGTACCGAAGGTTGTCCAGTGCTTTATTATTTCATCATCGTAGAATATTCCATGTCTGAAGTATTAGGAGCTGAAACCCATGTCTATGCTTTTGTCATTCTTATACATGTCTTGTATCAGAATCTGGAGAAAATATGTGGATAGAGTGATGGTAAAATATGTTGTCAGGCCTGAACCTGCCCATAAAGTTTAGCTTGCAAAAACAGGCTTTCATCTTTCCGCCTTGGCACATCTCTTTCCCAAAGGCAGATGTGACAGTTAAAAAAAGCTATGCGATTCTGGACAATATCAATGTGAATGGCCAGTGAGAAAGGTCATTAGTCTGGCCTCATTTTAGCCTACTATTGCTTTAAAGAAAAAGAAACAGTTTTATTAGAGGGTGTTAAAACAAGCAAGTGTAAAGCTGACTTTGAAATACATTTATGGTCTAATTTTTTTTAGAACAGGATGTGTTAAAAATAAGCAACCATGATAGATAGGTGCAGTGACAGTATGTGCCAAAGCTACAGTTAAATTATGTATCTGTACCAGTTACATGCATCAGTGCACACACAAAATTCCGCAATCTTTGGCCTGACACTTGTGGAAGCTCACATACTGCTAATATTTAATGCTCAGCAAGAGCTGTTTTGTTTTCCTAGCGATAGCAGCAAAAGGCTGCTGCCTCGCTATTATTAGCAAAATACAATACCTGATGATGATTCTGTACATCCTACATTTCACAGCATATACAATTTCTGGCAAGGAAAGCTTATTCTTCATATATGAGCAAACAGAAAACATCTTGGAGAGGTATACTATTAAATTATTGTCTTGCACAGAGATTTTGATATAGCCTGCCTTCTACAGCCTTTAGTAAGCAGTCTTTATATAATTCTCAGAACAGCTTGTAGAAAAGACATGAAGATCGCATCTCATAGATGGACTGAATGCCTTCTGCTCTCCAAATCTCTGCCAATGTATTCCTAAACATGTATGCCTAAATGTATTCCCTAAACAGCACCTTCTTCCCTTTCATATGGTTTCAAAATCTCAGGGGCCTCTGATCTAGCTCTGTTAGATTTCATTAGCACCTTGAGGAAGAACTCATCCTGTGGAGGAAACTAAAGGCATCTAAATAGTGTGTCCATCCTTTCTGTCCTCCTTCAGACTCTCTTCTCTTCTACTTCTCTTGAGTAGTGGTGGAAATCCATAACAATATGGTACATTCTTCAAATTCAAGGTAAGATCTCGTGGTCCTATGGTTACGATGTTACCTGTTCAACTATGGGCTGAATGAAGAAGTTGTTAGCTAAGTCAGAAAATGGTTGCAACGGTGTACCTCTGGCAGAGAAAGTTCAGATCAGCACAGGTAAGCACAAGGATGCTGCTCAAGGCTTTGGAAGCTCCTAAGCCACAAAGAGCAAGAAGCAAAGAGAGCGTTTAATCAGATTTCTCAGTCTCCTCTATGTGATGTTCTTCCCACTACTGAGCATTGCAAAAGATGTGCCAGTGGTCCAGCCTAGTGTGGCCACTTTTATGTTCCTGTACAGGCAGAAGAGAAAGCTCAAGGTTTTCCTTCTGTATTGCAAAAGATGTGCCAGTGGTCCAGCCTGGTGTGGCCACTTTTATGTTCCTGTAAGCTCAAGGTTTTCCTTCTGAGGGCTGAGCTGAAAGGCCAGTTTCCATTGGCTTTGGGTGATTGTCTCTGCTTAAGGAGTCTATTGTGATTCTCTTCTTGATGGGAGGTCAGGATGGTTGGAAGTGGGAGGCTAGATGCGTGTCTGACAAGCCTGGTAGGGTGAGGAGAAGGCAAGATGACAGAATGTGCACTGCATCCATAAGGATGCTGCAGTGTTAAAGAGGAATCTTTAACAATTAAAGCAAGAGTCGGATGTATGAGGGAAGCTTTCTGCCAGGGAGGTGAAAATGTCATCTATAATGGAACAAAAGCTGAGTGAGTTGTCATGAGTAAGATGTGAAACATCAAAAAAAAAAAAAGTCAAGAAAAATCCACAGCAAAACCTGAGCTGCAAAAAGATCAAAAACCATGAATTTCTAAACATTTCTGTGTACATAGTTCATTTTTTTCCTGATCCACAGGCATCAACTGTATTCCAAAATAGCAAGACAAAGAAACTCCCAGTAGAACTGGGTATTTTTTCCTGAGCCTTATAAGGACTATTTTGCTTCTTGCTTACTAGTTCCACTCTGGCCCAGATACATAGTGACCCAGAATTATAATCATCTTCTGGCCACCAGTACTCCTTGTGAAGTACCTGGAAAATAGTACGTGTCACAAGAAACACATCGAAAGACGGCATTTGTTCTCCTCTTCCCCATGTTGGGCAGTCTGAGAAAAAAGGCAAAAATGAGTCAGAGAAAGTTAATCACTCCGTCACCTCAGGAGAAAACTAAGACGGACATGTAGCCCTTCAGGTCTATTCATGTAGGTTCTTCTACGGAGTGTACCAGCCCACTGCCTGACACCGGTGTAGTAAGCAGTATGACTAATATCTAACATATGTTGTTTGCTCTCTCATCCTCCCCAGAGGAAGCAGCATACGCGCCCGTGTGTCTTGTTTGATAGGATTTTCTGCTGTCTTTTTAAATAGAAGCGCTGCTCTGCACTGATGCTACGGAAAACAGCTCCAAAAGGTTCAGACCCTGCGCTTCGAGGGGAAGCTGGTGAGATGTGAGATAGTGCTTAATTCTTGGATGTGTTTGTTCCCCAGCCTCTGAAGAATGAGAAAGTTTTGCCTGACTTACGGGCAGGCTTTACTCTGACTACAGTGCTATCGCTCAATGCTATCGTAACAGGGCTTCTCCAGCCAGCACCTTTTGGCAATCACTCTCTTTGCCTTAAGACAGAAAAATTCAACTTCTTGAGCAAATTAGCAGGCTAGCCCTCAGAAATATTGCTAGAGAGCTGATCAAACATTTGGATGCACTTTCTGTGAGTTAGCTAGCAAGGCCCAGCCCCTTCTGCTGACGTCTTTCCTCTCTATCACACATCAGACTTTTCCCAGTGGAGCTGGAGAACAGGCTTCAATGAAAACTGCCTGTTTGCAGCTATATGGAGATTGCAGGCACCACAATCACTATTTCCTCTACCTGACCTGGAGCAGAAACTCCATCATCAGGATAGAAAGGTAGCTTTGTTGCCTAGCAAAGGTGGGATGATTTATCTCTGTCTCTAGATTGGTCCCTTTCCTTTGCTGCACAAGAGAATTGTTTTCAGACTTCCAAGGAGAATGAAGCCAGGCTAGAAATCAGAGTGGATGTGGGAGAGCTGCTCTCCCCAGGGAGGAGAAGGAGTGACAGGGTTTCTGTGCTTTTTTTTGTTCCTGTGCAGCGCAGGACAATGGTTTTATCTGCCCCAGTTATAGCCCTGGGGGCTACCTTAGGGACTGCAACTAGCATCCTTGCCCTCTGCGGTCTCACCTGCTTCTGCAAATGCAAGCAACCTGGGAAAGGACCCTCAGAAAAGGACCAAGAGGAGAACACGGAAAATACTAAGCCCAGTGTGCTTCAGCCAGTCCAGCAAGTAAGCCACAGTCTCTAATTTACTCTGTGATTTTTCTTTAAATGCAGAGGGTGGGAATGCAACTTCTCTGTGAGGCTACTCAGCATGTGATTTATGCTGCCTGTTTATCTGCTTACTGTGTTCAGGATGTAACAACATGTTAATGGGAGGAGGAGTGAGGGAAAACCAGAGATGGGCTGGGTGACCCACAGAATTACCGGAGCAGGAGACAGCTGCTACATTGCCAAAGAGAAAGCTGCTAATGGCAAAAAGAGGGGAGGAGGACTGGAAATGATGCTTGGCTGTCAAGCTAGATCACAAGGGAAATAATTTCCTGAGGAGAGAAGACTGGACTTTACCAGGTGGCATGCAGCATTGTAAAGAGGAGATGACTCCTGCTGGGATCTCCTATAGCAGCTATTTCTCTAACTCTATTCACGATATCTTACGGTTCCTGCAGGATAGTTCCCTGTCAACAGCTGGTTTCTTGTGAAAACCATCCCTCCTCCTCCTGCCCCTGTAACTGAGGGGACTGATTATGTGTGAAGTTAAAACAAGGCATTGAAATGATAATAAGATGCAAGTGAGAATCTAGAGTATGATGACTGGACAATCTCATCACACTGCGAATTGCTTTTTCACTTACTATAAGAGCAATGTGGAGTATGGGTAATGTCAGGCATCCCTGTGTGGTCTTTCTTTCTTGTCAGAATCCAAAACCCCTGATTTACTCCTGAGCTCAGTGCAAGAGAGAGGAAGGGGAATTATAGGATCCTTCTAATATACTTATTAATGGGAAGCTCTCCTTCAAAGGGAAATGTTTAACTGAATTCCATGGTTGACTATGGTCTTTAGTATGAGCTATAGCACTGGTCAGTCTCTGAAAGTATTACCTGTTGGCTGTTGCTCTTGATGTTTGTATGTGCGTACCTTCAGCTAGCCATTCAACCAAATGCTATGCCATAGCAGCCAATTCCAAAGGCCAGTGATCCATTGTATAACAGTCTTTGTTTGCCTTTTAATTATCTGAGCTGCCTATTCTTTTTGTATTCTTCAAGAGTGTAGCAGGAGTCCTAATTAAAGTTCTCTGTAATGTTTGTAATTACATATTCAGTCTCTCTCTGGTTACGACTCTTAGAAAAGAGCCCTGGTATCCTCATGCTCCCATTGCAGTTTATGCTGAGGAAAGATGACCAAATCTACTAATTGTATTATAAGATCTGGTGCAGATGCCTAGAATTGCATTACCAGAGCTTCTGGTTCCTGGGGGGTGGGAGAATGCCTCCACTGACCATGGATGAACATCTGCATGGAGCTTAGGACCTCTCAAGAGATTGCTGCTAATTCTGAGCGTTTATCCATGAGCATGGTGAATACCTCCCGGTACCTGTTTGCATTTTCTTAGGATGAATTTCACCTGCTATTCTGTTTGATAGTTTTGTCATGTCCTTTCCAGGCTCCTTTCTTGTCTTTTCTAACCCATACAGGGGATTTGCCAACTCCTGTATATATAAGGATGTACAATAATGCTCAGATTTTCCAAGTTTAATGTTAAAATAAATGAGAAATGTGTAACTTTGACAGTCATATCACTTTGCATAGCATTTTTTCTAGCTGTTGTCTGGAACAACACTACCCACAGATAGCTTTACTATCGGTCTCTTTCTACAACAGACTTTTTGTTGTTGTCATCTTCTAGCTCAGAAACCTCTCAGATCTTTACTTTAACTCCATCCTTGGACTGGATATTTTTCTTTTATATAACCTTTTGGGAAATATCTTGGGAAAGTGTTAATGTGTCCTGGAGTTTGTCCTCCGGGGTATCATCCCGCTCGCATGACTGAAATAAGCACTAAGTCACCGTAAAGTCCAATTAAGCCTCCAGTACCTAGCAGTTATTAGGTTATGGTCCTCACAATATTTCTATATTCATCAAGTTTTGCCATAACATAATCCAGTATCTGACCAAGAGAGGATCAAATTATTCAACCTGCCCTCAGCATAGCACTGTTACCTGAGTGATTGTATTCTTTTAGCATTGTAGACTTTCTAATTAGAGGTATTATTTCTACATCAACTGGTTTTGTGTTTTGTTTGTTTTGTTTTTTTTTTTTTTTTAAAGAAATCTGGCCAAATTATAGCAGCTGAATGAACATTCTGTCACAGAAGTGCAGAATGTTCTTAGTTTGCATGTTCCGTATGTTTAACAATTCTTTCCAATTAAAATAGTTTTCTTGCCAGGAACATGCATTCTCCTATGCTGTCACTGACTCAGAATCAGTGTATATACCTTGCAGGAATGAATCTCAAATTGAGTTCGGAGCTTGTGAAGTTTTATCATCTGTGTCCATGTTTATAAATTGTCCTGTCGGGACTTTTTTTCTACTACATTAGTACACTGTATGTCCTAGTCAGTGCTTGACATACTTAATTATTGAAGCCTGTCAGGGCCACTGATTCTGATAAACAGAGATGACAAAAGAAGATGAAGCAGGACTGCATTTTATTCACTTGGCGTGTCTCCCATGACAGTGATGCTTGTATTTCCTATAGACGTAGGTTCCCCAGGGACATGCCCTGCATACGTGAGGAGGAAGAGTTCGAACACAAAGATACATCTACAGAACAATTAAAAACCACTGTAAATTTGCAAAGTCTCAGCACAGGGTGTAGAATGAAGATTCTTAAATGCATCCAGCAATAGCAACAACCTGGTGCATTGTTTGAGTGACACTGGGCAGGGACTCAGAAGGGTCATTTGCAGCCTCCTTGCTACTTTTGGTTTCTTTGCTTTCACGCATTTTATGCAGAACTGTCTGAACTCTGCTGCTCATCTCTTTATTTAAGATACTGCTGCTGATTTGCAAAGGGAACTTCCATAGGGCACCGCTTTGTAACTAGATTAGCAGACAGCACTTGGGAACGGAGCTGGCAGCAAAAATAATAAACAGAGGCAGATGCAGTTGGAAGAGGGGGTGGGCTAGTCCCACTGTGCTTGCATATGTCTCTCATCTCTAATTCTGCAGAGCAGACAGACAAGAGGAATATTTAGACCCAGTGGAGCTCTTTGTTGCTGTGTGCTGATGGATTTCCTGGCTAAATGTCTGGCTTTTAGCAAATGGAAGAAAAGATCGTACTAACAATACCTCACATTTGTATGCTGTTCTTCATCCCCAAAAGTGCTTCATGTGCTAGCAGGACACAGCCATGCAGGCAGACTGCTGTGGTGTGATGGTCAGTGACGGGTAGGACAGCAACCTCATACAGCAGTGTCAGGAGAGAAGGAACAGCAGAGGCTGACCACCATGGCAGGCACTGTATGCACATTAGAAGTAACGCCTTTGCAGAACAAAAGCGACCTGGTTTCTCAAGCTGTTGTCTACTGATTCCTAACATGTTTTGCTTGGTTGCTCTGCTTTAATTTTAGAAGAATGGAAAACTGCATTTAAGGTTTGGTAACTTCAAATTTCCTATGTATTTTAGGACTGATGAGGCTCACATCTCTAAGAGAGGGATCTGACTTACAGACCTGCACCGTATGACTTACATAATTTCTAAACTCAGCTGAATGCTAGGTAGGGACTGCACACAGTCTTTCTTTCTCTACCTGCTTCTCTTTCAGAGCCCTTAAAATTAGACAAGACAAAACACTATATTACAGAGTGGACTTCCTAAACACTGGCTGCCTTGAGAAGATGGAGTTGCTGACCTAATTCTTTACCACTGCCAAGTGCACGGAACCATAGTGCTATGATCTCCATAAGCAGAGCTTGCCCAAAAAGCTAAAGTCCAAGACTGCTCTCTTTCTTTAGCTCTGTTTCTTGAGGAATAGGTATGCTCCCTCAGGACGTGTGAACTGGGATCACAAAGTCCCAACGCAGACAAGTGCTTCAGGGCGTCATCTACATTCATTATTAATAGGAAACAATGAGACTAATGAAAAACTTTAATTACAATTATGAGCATTTTCTGGCTCACCCTCGATCTAAACTTAACACAGAATAGGTTGGCAGGCAGCGGGGTTGGAGAGAATCCCACTGCACAATAATCAAACAAAATGGCAGTTTTACTTCTGCTTTTTGTCTTTCATGTTTTGGAAACATTAACAAAATCTGTTGCAAGGGTCAGGGTCATTTGCTAGTCATCTTTTGTTCTTTCCCGTTGATGAATCCAAATAAAAATTAATCAGGAATTATTTCAGTTGTGAGCAGACAGGATTCTTTCTTGGGACATAAGGAAAAGAACATTGTTCCATTCTACTAAAATATTTTTCATTGTTTTGGGAGAACAGTAATGCCTTTGTGACAACCTTTGCTTCGACTGCCTGAGCATTACACTGTCTTTCAGGTTCTTCTGCTCATTCCATGCTCACAATTCAGCAAGGAATTGAAATGTTACGAACAAACTCAGACATAAATTCAAATTTGAATCCTGGTATACTAAGGGGAAAATGTGTGTCTGAGGGTCAGGTGCAGCTCTACTCCACAGAGACAAGAGGTAGCCCATGAGGCTGAGATGACCACTGAATCAGCTACTCTTGGTATGCCATTACAGGGCTCATTTGTTCAAGCAGTTCTCCTTTGTCTTATTACACCACGGTCATACTTGCTCCAAGTGACTGTATGATCCATGCCTTTGCCTTTCTAATGCTTACTACATATTCACATAAAATGTTCTGAAATCTGTGGGTGGCTATAGCCTCTTGATCTTGGATTTGACTTCAAACATCAGAGTAAAACATACCATACCTTAATCATAGCAAAATGACCTTCATGGTTGATTTCTGTGCTAAGAGAAAACACAGACTTCCGAAAGAAGGATTAACGGGTACAGGAACAGAGGAATAAGCAAACAATAAGAACATATCTCTTTCTTGTTGCAACCAAACATCTGTGGAGGAGTAAATCTGAAAAGACATACACCAGGTAGAAGGGTATCAGCTTTGGCAAGAAAATCTCTGGACAGACAGGCAGTGGTTTCTACAACCCAAGAAACAATGAGGGTAAGAATGACCAGGGGCATGTCTTTTCTCCCTTGTCTCATCTCATCTAACATGGAGAGAATTGGAAGAATTACTCTAATTACTGCAAAGTAATAAACAAGGTTTTAATTTTCAGTTCAACGTTAAGAAAACTGCAGAGCCAGTCCAGCCTCGAGCACTGCTGAAGTTTCCCAACATTTATGGCCCCAAACCAGTAGTAACTTCACCTGAAATTGTTAACTACACGCAGTACTCCCTGAAGACAACAGAAGAACCAGCTACTGGAAAACATACTGGTTTGGATGAGAACAGGATGAAGATACAAGTCAACGAAGAGCTGTTTGTTCTCCCTCAAAACGGTAGGAGCATTTAGTCTTCAGACTAACAATTGCTTCTCTGGGTGTAGATCTGTAATACTTCTGAGTATAATGTGATTGTAGTCAGAGAAATAAATGTGACAATGAAGACGTGGGGTGCTTTTCCGCCCTCTTATCATGAGCACTGTAAGTGCTCTGTCTTCAATGCATGTGTTTAATAGAAAGTAGTCCTGGAGCTCATCAAGACATTCAGATAACAAAGCTGTAGTTATGTCTGGTTGTAAATTTTTTTTTTTACCTAAACATCTTTTGTGTTGAAGAATCTGGCTCACTGGAAGCAGACATTTTGTGGAAAACCCTGTATTTAGTGTAGTTTTACTGCAAACAGTTGCCAAGTATGGGTGAAATATCTGGCCAAAACTAGGCAGAGTATGTCCTCCAGGACAAATGCTTGCTGTCGAGCAACCGTCCTTGTCAAGGACATCGGCAGCAGGGGTTCAAGCTTCTACTTTATTTTCTCTGCTGCTTTTTTTTCCACTGGTTTGGTGAGATGGTCTTGGCTTGTTGTAATGTGCAGTGAAACCAAAGGCTGACACCTCAGACATTTTTGCCAAACAGAATTCTTGTTTTCCAGCCAGCCCAAAGGGTAGCATGCCAAAGCCTAGAACATAAGATTCCTGGAGCCTGAGAAAAAATGCAGTATTAATTATATACATCTGGCAGTGTGTCTGTGTTGTTTCCATACTGATTTTTACCTTCACAGCTGTCTTTTAACAGGATAATTGACTCTTATGGTTACCACATTAATAAAACCTTCCTGAAGATTTGCCAGAGACACAATGCCATCTGTTGTGATTTTTGTTTTTAAGAGAGCTCTTTTTAGTTTTTTGAAATTGCTTGAGATTATATTTTTGTCCTTCTGGGAGGACGATCGGTACATTAGCCCTCCACTCTGAGGCTTGTGAGTATAGAAAAGAAATTGCCAGGAGAAGCAGCTGCATTGGAGGACGAGACTGTCTGAGCCACATCCTTAGGTGTCAGGGAGAAGATTATAGGGTGGAGAGGCTGAAGGTTGATGGCTGCATGTAGGCTAAAGCTTTATATAAGTGTGCTGGTGTACGAGCCTCTCTGCACAAGCAAGTTTGCTTCCTGCTGTGCCTGATTTCATAGCTCAAGTGTTGCTGAAATAAAGCAAGAATAGTTGTGTTCTCCTTTCAGTGTCACATGCAATTGGCCAGGACTGTGGCTGAGATTTTTAGAAGGAAATGTGCTCATCCCACTATTGTTTTCTGTGTGAATCAGAACTGACCTTGTAGATAACAACAGCTTTTGATGGCAAAAAGCTGTGGCTTCCCTTTCAGTCTCACAACTCTCTTTATTTCAGTATGAAATACATACTCAACTACAAAATCACGTGTGGAGAAACTGCCTCACAGCTTCCCAAGCTCATTATCTTCAACCTGGTCAAGCGCTATGGAAATAGATGTCTTCTGCTTGACAAAGACTATTGTTAAAATTAAAAAATGTTTAGAGAGGTCTGAACTAATGCAGAGTTGCACAGTAGCTCAAAAGCAGATTCACATTCTCATTCCAAAGAACACGAGATTTAATTCACCAATGCGAGTTAAAAACTATATAGAACGATAGAACAAGTAATTAGTGTAGTTTAGACACCTTGGCCTAGGCACAAGGTAAAAGAGCAAGTGTGTGAACCATCTTAGAGCACAAGGTGCTGGCGAGCAGAAGCCTTGTCCAAGTGCTGTAGAAAGAGCTGAAAGTGTGAGAGCAAAAAGGAGATATGATGATGGAGGAAGAAGGAACATAAATTATATTCCTGCATACAAGGTGCAGAAATAGTGAGATGTTTAGAAAAGTCAAGCCAAGCCAGGGTGGCTTTGTTCTCCTTGGAAGGTGAAGACCTGCTTGCTAAAGGGCTTATTTCAGTTCCAGGCGTGGTAAAGGACGTGTGTGTCACGGAGCACCTGAACCCCGAGAGGGCAGCCAGCTGTAACCAGGCCCCTGAGCTGCGCTACTCCCTTGTGTATGATCAACAAAAAGCCGAGCTACGTGTGGCCCTTCTGGAAGGTAAGGGGCAGAGATTTTCCACTGGTGATTCTCCATCTGGAGGGTACAAGACACCTGTTGATTTTATAGAGAGTTCCCCTCCTACCTTAAAATCAACATGTGCCCCAGGACCACTGGATATTTCACTGGTTCTGGGATTGCAGAACAGAAATACTTGGCAATGTCATTGCTTGAAGTGAGGGTGCAGGGCATGGCTTGGGAACAATTCTTTGCACAGCTCAAAAGCAGAAGTCAGGAACCCCCCAGTCCCAGCCATAGTATCAAGCAACAGTATTTTTGCCTTTAGAGGCAAGGGGTTGCTATCTCCTTCCTCTCCATAACTTCCATTCTTCAACTTGACCCACTCCCTACTGCCTCTTCCTCAAGTCAAGCCAAAGGCTGAGCTGGAGTTACCAGACCTATCTTGTAGACCACTGAGGGAGGTCCCTCTGGCTGCGCCTGGCCAGGCGGCCAGGCTCTGTGTCCCTCTCTGAAGTGGGAACTGACAACTGCAACAGCTTCTCCGCTCAGGACTGGAGCATCATCAGTTCCCCTGGGAAAGTAAAATAAGCTGACTGAATAATTCATGCACAGTGCAGATCTCTGTGGAAACCTAATCAAATCACATCCTCTGAAGTGAGAATTGGAAGGGTGCTAAACGGCAGACACTGCTGTGGGCCGCCTGCCAGCAGCGAGCCCACAGCTCCGCTCCAGTGTGGACACCCATGCCTGCTGACTGCCACCCTGGTTCTCCTGCACACGTGCTTGCTCCTCCCTGGGTGCCCCACTGCCACCCGGGCAGGATCTGGCTCCGCTCCCCTGAGAAACCAGCAGACCCCTGTGAAACAGGTCAGGAGCAGCTGTCTGTCCTTGGACTGGCTGCAGCAAGGACAACAGTTTTGCCCACAAAGCCATGCTGTTTCATGTCCCCTTGGAGGAAGGCGTGCTCCTCTTGCTGCGGAGAAGGCAGCACAATTCTGTTGATGCAACTGAAGAGGAGTGTGAAATGCCATTCTCATTCTAGGCTTTTTAACATAAAAGGGATATAAAATTAGGGATGAATGTCTCTTGACATGGATTTTTTGGGCTGTGGGATGGCTTCTGAAGGATTCACTCACCAGAGGTTGGACAAGCAGAATGTAATAACCCTTAGACGCATCCCACACTGGCCTGGAGGGGTGGATGTGTGCCAAGAGGGAAGTCTCTCCCATTTCTGATGTCTGTGACTGACCATCCTGCTTTTAAAGCCTTTGTAAGAAGCTTTCTTGGTGTGCCAAGGTAAAAGTAAATGAGCTGCCAATCCCTGTGTCATGCTGCGTCTCATCTCATTGCTGCTCTGCATCTTTCAACAGAGCGTGTTTCCTTGAACTCAGCTGTTGCTCTCCCAAACACTAAGATCATCGTTCTGCAGTGGCAGAAGGACAAGGACGTTGTGCAGCATGAGGAAAACACCACAGCATGGGCTCA